CATGAGTAATGCGGACCATTAAACCATCATAAATCTTTAACAACGATGAAACTGCCTACATAATCGTTCATAATACAGGGACTTGCCTGCAAAATGATAGGGTTTACTGTAGCACGTGACTGGACACACATTTTGCACTCCTGTAACTCAGGGTCTCTATCCGGTTCATTAATTAATTTAATATTACATTGATTATAAAGTGAAAAACCATCACAAGAAGTTAGGGCATGTACATCCTGAACTTTACAGTCTACAGTATTCCCTTACAGGTACTATCTTCCACTATAACATCCATCTCACTCTTAGCTTCAGAAGCTTGATCAACTGGTTCAAGCTTGATCAACTAGGATCGGGTCTACGGGATAATGAATCCGCATTCAGATGTGTCTTACCCGATTTGTACACAATCTTCCAATTGAACATATTCAAATCAAGAATCCATCGTGTTTGACGACCTGTCACATCATTTTCTATATGTAACCCCTATTACATATAGAAAATGCAAATAATGCTTAAAATGCCTGACACTCCACACAATAGCATACAACTCCCTATCATAAGTAGACCACTTTCACTTTTGCTGAGAGCATGCTGGCATAAGCGATAACCCGATTTAAGGCGGCCCTGGGCCTGTCTCTTATACACATCACCCTCCTGAATTTGAGTCAATACAGAGCCAATAGAAAATTCTGAAGCATCTGTGAAAAGTTGAAATTGTAAATTAAAATCAGGATACGCCGCAATTGGTGGGTTATCAAAGTTTTCTCTCAATATGTTAAAAGCATGATCACACTCATCTGACAAACAAAAGGTACGCCTTTGTGTGTTACTGTAGTAGTTGCAGAGGACGAACAATTGAGGCAAAGTTTTTCACGAAACGCCTGTAATATGAGCAAAGACCCGCAAAACCTCTGACCTGGGTGACATTACGTGGAATAGGCCAACGTTTGACCTTCTCAAGATTAGCAGGGTCAGGCTCTATGCCGGCTTTGGAAACAACATGAGCCAAAAATGTGACACGCATTTTTATTGGGTCAAATTCTGTACCGCCACCAGTTAAAATAAATTTAATTTTTTCTAGATGCTTTACTATGATTTGATTTTCATTACATTTTGCTATTATATGATTTTACATGTGTAATTTATGATTTACAGTAGCTTTGAAAAATAACTTTGTCAAATTAAAATTAATTTTAAACCCATTTTATTATTTTCCGTCCCGCCACTTATTAAGAATTCCGTACTACCACCATTATGAAGTATAATTAGTTTTTAAAAGTGTTTGCATCGATTCCATTTCCATAATTCTTAACAATATTATGATTATAAAAGTGTAATTTATGATTTTGGCTTAAAAAGTAATTTTGGAAAATTTTAAACAATTTTAAACTAAAATAATTATTTAATTCCGTCAAACCACCTTTTGGAATTCCGTCCCACCACCATAAGAACATTGAAAGCTACATGATACCTTTAAGTAATGTAAAACTATTGATTTGATTCCACAAAGGTTGTGATGCCATGATTATAGAGTTCTTTAGTACTATAACACTGCCATTTCTGCCAAAATGTGCAGGGGGTATAAATCACCCCTTAAAATACAAGCTTACAATACATAATGGTCTATATATAATGGTGATTAGACCTACAGTATCAGTGTATTTCTCCAAATCTTTAATGTCTTTACCTTCTTAAAATGTTCCATACACCTATGGCATGAATATAAGTATCAGCAATGTTTAACATTGCAGATACTTATATTTAATAATATTCTTTTCAATTTTACAGATAAACTTTATTTTAAAGAAAGCATCGAATTTGGGTAATTTTAAAAATTCCGTCCCGCCAATTTCCATCCCGCTACCCTGACCGTTTTATTTAATTTTATTTTATTCTGCTCAGCGAAACATTTAAATTTATTGATATAGCCTATGGTGATGAAGCATAGTTGCTACTCAAAAGTATGTATTTAAATTTACAGCACAATTTTAAAGTTTGAATTAATTGAGAAGATAACATGTTGTCTCATTTTTATCAATTTGTTCATTCCGTCCCACCACCAAAATGTTTTTCATTGCCATGGTGATTTGATAAGGTACTGTGTTTTCTGTTTTGCATCAAATTGAAGTAGGTATCATTATCTTGCTAAGGATCATAAAACAAGTTTCATAAACTAGGCAGTTAGAGAACAAGATCTAAATAAATGTCCAAATTTCCATCCCGCCACTGGAGGGGGGCTTTGGATTAGGCCCTGAAAATAAATGTTAAGCCGGCCCTGAGCCGACCTAAAGTTAATCCGACCTGATTGCAGTCGATTTTGACATCTTATCTAACCACAACATTCATTTCAACTGACTTGCGCAAAAAAACACCATTAAGAAATAAATTGTTAATAAACTGTAGAGTAAATTGTATTCAGTTGAACTATTGTTTTGAATAAAAGTTGTTATATATATATATATATATAAGGTCTCCAACCTAACTAATTATTACTTTCTTTTCTACAGTTGAAGAATTCCAGTAGAGAAAAAATATATTGGCCTATTACAAGCTCAAGAAACCCCGCTTTTTGTATAGCACACATTAATTTAAGTTTATATTCTAAAATCATAACACTGTATAGTGGCATCATTCTTTCTGAACATCATCCTCACCAACCATGTGCGGGATCATAAAACAAGTTTCATAAACTAGGCAGTTAGAGAACAAGATCTAAATAAATGTCCAAATTTCCATCCCGCCACTGGAGGGGGGCTTTGGATTAGGCCCTGAAAATAAATTTTAAGCCGGCCCTGAGCCGACCTAAAGTTAATCCGACCTGAGCCGGCCCAAGTTCGCTCTGATTGCAGTCGATTTTGACATCTTATCTAAACCACAACATTCATTTCAACTGACCTTCGCGAAAAAACATTGTAGAGTAAATTGTATTCAGTTGAACTATTGTTTTGAATAAAAGTTGTTATATATATATATATATAAGGTCTCCAACCTAACTAATTATTACTTCGACTTTCTTTTCTACAGTTGAAGAATTCCAGTAGAGAAAAAATATATTGGCCTATTACAAGCTCAAGAAACCCCGTTTTTTGTATAGCACACATTAATTTAAGTTTATATTCTAAAATCATAACACTGTATAGTGGTATCATTCTTTCTGAACATCATCCTCACCAACCACGTGCGTTTTGTGTCGACCCAACGTTCGTGAAGCTACTCACGTGACCCCGAAAACAGAAAAAAAAATAATCGTTTGTTACTTTTATGATCGAAGCTGGTTCTCAAAGCGTTAAAAATTGTTTTGTGAATGAACCTAACACAAAAATAATTATTATTGCCAAATAGATAGATCTCGATGCTACTTATTCACAATCTGTGTCCCCGGTCTGTGACCAAACATTGACAGCAACCTTCAGTCTTGCATAGGCCTATACAGTTTACCCATACAGGTATGGAGTTTCAAAATCGCGAGTCTGGTTTTGCAGTAAAGTTGAGCTGCGCTAACTATAGGCCTTGGTTATTATAATAATTATCGTCGCCATAATAATGAAGCAGAATGCTACGCTTAAAAAATTGAAAAAGTATATGGACAATATTCGAAATTATACAGTAGGTTCATGCTTCGCGCGAATTCCATGTGTTTATTCTAGGTTGTGATTTACCGTTCCGCCATCACGTAATGCAATCGCCTCAATCATTTTGTCTTGCAATTCATCGACCCGGCCCAAAGGAGAAGTGTGAACGTTCGTAAGGTGCCCCTGGGCTGACTTAAAACAATCACTGTGAACGAAAATGTTGTTGAGTCGGCCCTGAGTCGGCCGTAATTTAAGGCGGCCCTGGGCCGGCCTAATAAGTGTGACTGGGCTCTTAGAGAACGGGATCTAAATAACTGTCCAAATTTCTGTCCCGCCACTGGAGGGGAGGGGGGTTTGGATTAGGCCCTGCATGCATATTAATTTTCCTATAATCTACACAGGAATGAAAGGTGATATCCTTTTCTTAACCATAACTATAGGTGAGCTCCGTGGGCTATGACTAGGCTCAATGATGTCCTTATCTAATAACTCATCAGACTGTCTCCTTATCTCCTCTCTCATAAAAAGAAGTCCTATAAACTTTTTGCCTCATTCCCAGTATCTATGGTGTGTTTGATTAAATCTGTACGACCATAATCCCTGTTTGTTTTGCTGAAAATATCATGATAATCATCTAGTAGTTTGAGGACCTTATCTTTTTCTTCCTCTGTTATTAAGTTTTTAGAGGAAATATCAAAAGATAAATGTGATGAAGGTTCTATCGATGGACTAGAAGTTGAAGTAACCACTTCACTACTATAATACTGACACTTTGCATCAAGGGGCTGACACTTTGCATCAACAGCCATTTCCACACCTGCTGGAACAACCAATGCTCGTGGTAAAACAACATACAAGTATGTACAGTAAGCGACTTGTCGGTCAGTACGGAATGTATCAGCAATCTTAATAACTCCAGTTTTCAAATCAATAACTGCACCATTTGACTTAAGAAAATCCCAACCCAATATCATGGGTCTCTCCATACTATTTGAAACATGAAAATTATGGTTAAGCGTAACATACCCAATACGCAAATTAACTCTAACACAGCCTATAAATTCAAGGGGGCTGCCGTCAACTGACTTAGCCGTGTGAAATCTTTCTCAAATCTTCTTGACTTTAAGAATTTATTACTTTTACAAAACTGATTAGAAATTAAAGAAATGTTAGCACCAGTGTCAATTAAAGCACTGACTTCGTGACCCTTACCATACAACTGTATGTGGGAGTTAAATCCCTAATAGGAACACCAAAAATCTCATCTGAATTATGTACAAGTTGGTCATCTGCTGATGACAACTGAGGGGTCTTTGCATATCACTAGTATTTCCACTTGCATAAGCCGAATATTGACCCACATTTCCAACTGACTTTAGTTTCCCGAACTAGAATATTTGGTGTTAAATGTAACCCGTTTGGGACTACCTTTGTATGCCCTGCGGTATGGAATGTTTTGTCTGCAATGTGTGTCGGCATGCTCATATCTACCCTGCGGATATTTGGGCGTCCTATCTCGGTTACGGGAGTCCGAGCAATCATATCTACCCAGCCGATATTCGGGTGTCCTGTCCCTACGCCAAGAGGAGGAATGGTTCCGATAATAATCAACATTAGGTAAC